TTTTATGTATGAGAAAAAAGAGAGAGATTTTTCTTTCGCTTTTTTATACTGAACTTCCACCTTATTTAACATTGAAAACGAATCGTTGAATGTGATAAATTTTTAATATGATATAAAGAGGAAAAGTATAAGTTTATAAATACAATAGAAGGAAGTAAATCTCAGGCGCGTTAAGGCGTCACAGACCATTGTCAAAAATTTGTGAATTGAAAAAATGAATAAGATATGGAATTGTTGAATCTTCTTTTTAAAGAGTCGTGCGACAGAAACATCTTGATTGTGGGAGATGAAAAGAAGATTGACATAAGTGCTGCTCGATGAAGTACATTTATATATATATATATATAGATGTATTCGTGTCCATGTGTACTTAAAGAGGTATAGTGTGTGGATGGAGATTGTGAAAAATCATGAAATAGGTATATAAAAGATGAGAGGAGGAAAATTGTTAAGATCGAAGAAGTCGAAGAAAAAGATGAAGAAGACGATGATGATGAAGAAGAAAAAGTAGGGGAACCGGCGCGTGGCTATAAGGATCGAATATCGCCAGATGTTACGACGAAACAAGCAGCTGTCTCTCCTGCCCTCCACTGCTTTTCCTCTCGCCTTTTCGGGAACCCGGCAGGTACTTCAACATCATGATGAAACTATACATCTCACCTGATGGAGAATCACAATGCATCAATAAACATACGGAATTTTTTTTTCAAAAATATATTTTTCAAATTGAAAATTTTTTTTTAAAAATATTTAATTTTTTCGATAATTTAAATAACACCTGACTGCTTGAGATTTGCTTCCATTCTATCTTAAGTAAGCATTATTATTATTTCCTATACTCTCTGAAGAGTTGGTAAAATTTTTAACTGATTTGAATTAGTTACTCACTTTTTTGCTTTTGAATTCTTTAAATTTTATTGATTGGTTAGTAAACAAAAAAAATTTTTTTTTTTAACTACTTGTTAAATTTTACTTATTTCAAAGCAAAATGTGAGTCATTAATTTAAATTAGTTAAAAAAATTTACTACTCTCTAAATCTGAATTAGTAAAAATGTTTACTAACTTAAATTAGTGCATTGCTTTTGTATGATATGCAAGAAAAGTTACTAAGTATGCTTGTCTTTGGATGTTGACAAAAAAAATTTCAAAATCCCACCCCTCACTTTTAAAATTGTTCGAAATTAATTTTTTTTTTTTTTTTTTTTGTTAGCGTGAAAAACTATTTTACTCTGAAATATTACAAACATATAAATATACAAAAGCAATACGTACCAAAGAGATAATTGACAACTCTGAAATATAGAAACAAAAGCAATACGCACCAAAAACGTTAACCAAAATTTATTATCATCTAAAACATTTTTTGGAAAAAAATTTGTGTTAAGTTAAAATTTTTTCTGTTTAAACAAAAAATAATTATTTTAAATTAAACTATTTTTTAACATTTTTGACTTTTTCCTTCCAGTTTAGACAAAGATTACAATTTTTATCTAATATTTATTTGAATAATTCTTACTTTTTAACAAAAATTGAATTAATAGTTTTCATTTGCATTAATTTTTATTTATTTATTTTTATTTTATTTTTATATTTGATTTATTTATTCTTTTTCCAGAGATTGTTAGAAAAAAATTTAAATTCAATAAAATTAAAATGTGTCTCGTAAAATAATTATCATAAAAAATAATATTTTTTTTTTTACAAAAAATTTTTATATATTCTTAATCTATAAAAATGTTATGTAAAAATATATAACGAATATTGAAAGTTAATTGTTTTGTATAATACACTTTTCTTTTTTTTTTCTTTGATTCTCATCAAGAAATAAAAATTATACAAGTGAATGAATATATATATTATATATTTACAATTGCGAGAAGAAAATTATTATGATTATTATAGACATGTGCAGCGCATGGTGTTCATTGTTCCTTTCGTCTTTGAATAAATTCAATATAAATACGGCACTGCCTGTGTATAATACGTATATTATACGTATGCAGTTCAGCTTCTTTAATGATTCGTATGTTGCGCACTCGATTCTTTCGTATAAGAAAAGGGAATGCCAAAAAAAAAGCTTTATTCACTTTGGATGGGAGCACTGACACATTTTTAACTAATTTACATATTTTATATATATATATATCTTTTTCTTTTCATTAAATTTGAAATAATTTTTTTAAAATTATTTTTAGTAGGGAAAAAAAAATTCCTAACACCCATCAGAAAAAAGATTCAAAAAAAAAATCAATTTCTTTGACTCTGTATCAATTTTAAAATTTCTTTGATTTAATGCATAAATTTCTTTGAATCAAAGAAATTTTCTTTTGAAACTGAAAATCTTTTTTTGTTTCAAAGAAAATTTTATATTTTGAATGATAGAAAAAAAATCAAAGAACTTGGTTTTTTTTAAATCAAAGAAATCTTTTTTCTGGGTGAATATGTTAAATAATTAATTATTAAAATTTGATCAAAGAAAAATCTTTAAATTTAGATAAATAATGTATCGCACTAAAAAAAAATTTGTTTGATTCAAGTTATTCAATAATTCCAAATTGCATCAATTAAGAATTTTTTTTTTTTTTATTCTCACAGAAGAAACATCTGAAGGAACAAAATTTAGACTTTTCGAAAATGACGTAGACAAAAAAGAATTTCAAAAATCACTCGTATAGATTTTTTTTTTTGACGTTAAATCTAAGCTTTTAAACACCAGGTGGAAAGTTTTAGTTTTAATGAAATCATTTTAAGAATGACTTGCATAAGTATATATAATATTCTTTTGAAAGTTGAATATACAAAAATTGAATTTTTTTTTCTTTTCAAAGGAACGTGCGTCTTTTCATTTTTATGCGTTAGAATTAAAAAAAAAAACAAAAAAATAAAGAACTTAATAAACTACAAAAAAAAAAATTCTTAAGCACGATAGAATTGGACATAAATTTGAATTGTTCGCCGTTATGAGCTGAATCACTAATTTCAGACAAAAGCTTTTCAAGGGAAAAATATCTAGTAAATCCGGTTGACCCTATATATACATCCAAGAATGTATATATTATATGGTTCTTTTCTTTTCTAGTGCTAATCATATGCAAATGTCTGAATTCTGTGGCAGACTATTTAATTTTTAATAGGCTATATAGTTAATTCTAAAAGAGGGTTAAATCATATATATATATATAGGGTACCAAGAATAAATTTTCGTTTTGCATTTTACTACAATGAAATGTCAAAAAGAAATTTTTTTGTATAAATCAGTTGAGGGGAATTTTTATAATTAAAATTTTGACTTAAAATTTATTTTTCAAATTTTTATATAAATGTGTAGTCAAAAACTAAAATTGAGGCTGCTTTCATCGTGTGGATAAATTTAATCTTCCGAGAGATTAAAGACAGTAGATATATTCTGCAATATGGCGGTTAAATATTTAGAAAATTGGTGATTTTTTAAGAAATTTTCTTACACTGAAAAAATTTGCTTCACATTAATGACTATTAACCATAGCAACTTAAATAGCACGCCAAAATTCCGTCATTTTGAATTTTGAAAATCTGACTTCAGATTCGTATAATCAGTATAGTCTGCCAAACATCCAAATAACAAATTTCATGAAAATATACCAATCTTTAAAAAAATTTTGAATTTTGAAAATCTAACTTCAGATTCATCATCAGCAGTCCTTAAAACTAAATAAAAAAAATTTCATAAAATTCCATGAATCTTTGAAATTTTTTAAAAATCCCCAATTTTCTTTGTAAATCATCGACCTCAAAAACCCCTAGATACCAAGTTTCATATAAATCCATCGATTTAAAAAAAAAAATTTATACCATCAAAAATTTGTCACGTTTTTTGAGGTTAGGAAGTAATCCAGACCCTCAGGAGCAAAATGGTCTTGAAATTAGTGTGAATTCAGCGGCCTTAAATACATGGGGGTAGGGACTCCGACACTTTTTTTTATTTTGTGGGGCTGTGTTATCTTCAAAATTAAAGTGGTTGGAAACTAGAACAACCACTGTAGTAACAAGAAAAGAAATTAAAAATTAAAAAAAAAAAAATAGAAGATAAATTTTGTTTCTAGGGAACTATAAAATTATTAAAATGTAAATAATAAATTCGGGTCCTTGAAATTGTTTGACAATTTACACTCGATTACGAATCTCATCAAGGTGGACCCTCGCCACCTTTTCTCTAGCGCTTCCAAGAATTTGCAGAAGCCAGGTGCATTCACATCTTATCCAAAGTTTGTTCGGCGTCCCATGTCAGCAAACTCTCCGGGTAGATATACAATATATACATATATAGGAAGCTCCCAAGCGCCTTGAGCTTTATCGAAAATTTGCAAAGTATATATGGCTCGTGCCAAAGGAAACTGAGGCGCAGCTGCTATATATATATATATATATATACAAAACTCGAATAGTCACAGTCTCGAGCCTCATTCGTCCCTTTTGCCTTCTTCTTTCCTTATTTCGCCCATATGTATAACCTATACTAGAAAATTCCCGAAGTCTAGGATTAGGACCCTTACACATACACACAAAGTATTCGACCTATCCCTATGCAGATTGCAACAAGACCGGTCAAGTAGGCACGCGACCTTAGAAAATTATTCATAGTTGAAGATCCCCTGCAAATGCAGCTGGCCAACTATATAGGATAATGATTGACATTTTCATGATGTGTCATTGACGTTATACTTTCTTTTTTTCAATTTTACTTTTATGGTTTTTTGACACACCTTTCTCGGATCTATATATTCGTTTGTTCAAAGCGCACCTTACCCTTTACACTTTGCTATTGTATTGCACCTTATAGGACTATAACCATATATATACTATTTTCGATGTATCGCGAGAGTTACAACTCTATTATGTATATATATATATATATATATATATTTGTACTTTGATGTCCACGCGAACTTTTTATAAAAGAATGAAAATATGTATACAAAAAAGACTGTATTTTTCACATGCATTGTTTGTTTATTTGCAGATGGCCTGATGAAATATTTTAAAATATATACATATATATTTACGAGGAGTGTACTTGTGAGCTTCAATGAAAACACCAGTTGGAAGAATCTGTGAGTTTTTTCTTTTATTTATTTTTCTGTATGATTTTATTATTTTCTTTAAATTTTAGTGTAATATATATTTTTTTTTGCGTCGAAATATATGTTTTTGAAAATTTTGAACATTTAAATATTCGAGTTTATCATTTTGTTGAAGAAACAATTTTTCCTCGAATTTTTCATAATACACGCAAAAAAAAAGTAGAACTTTTACCCCAAATTTGGTATAAAAATTTAACTAAAACGAATGTTATGCTAGTTAATGGCGTCACCGTCTATGTGAATTAGCATTGGAAAAAAATTACCCGCAACAAAATTTAACCAATGTTTTTCCATGAATCGGCATATTATACTTTTGAATCAATAATTTTTATGCCTTTGGTAGAAATGCTGTTCACTCAATAGCATATTTCAATCAACAATTTTGAAAAACATACACTGAGAAAAAAGGTTTGAGCTGACAACCAAATATTTCATTCAATATATATGTGCAACTAAAATTTTTTGGTTGACACAACTAAACTTTAGTTGACAACAACCAAAGTTTGTTTCAGATGACTAAATAAGAAAATGAAAAAGAATTTGGTAGTCTCAACCAAACTTTGGTTGATGTCAACTAAAGTTTAGTTGTGTCAACCAAAAAATTTTAGTTGCACATATACATATTAAATGAAATATTTGGTTGTCAGCTTAAACCTTTTTTCTCAGTGTATAATTCGACAGAGAGTTTTAGTTTTGCGTATTCAAAAAGTTAACTTAAAAATCTTGAAATACATATCGCTGTACCAAGTTTAAATTCACTCAAAAAGGTACAATTAATTTTTTAACACTAAAAGTTTTAAATTAAATCAACTTTGATTTTGGAATTTGCATTTCCATTATTCATATACGACTTTTGAGGTAAACTATAGGAAATCTTTATATTTAATTAAACAAGAATTATATTCGGTATAAAATTTAGATTCAGCGCTCGCGGTTCAGTATAAATTTTGCCTTTAAAGAAATTCAGTTAAATGTGATGATTTCCTCAGTATATATGAAAGATGGATTCAACATAAATTTTGTTCTTAAAAGATTTGTTAAAACTAAAAATTCTATTAAATGCAAGTAATTATTTTATTTTTAAAAATTCGGTTAAATAAGTATTCTTCGATATGCAAAATTTTGCTTTAAATTATTTAAAAAATAAGTTTAAAAAAAGTCGTATTTTTAAACGAAAATATGAGAACAAACATTGGGGCAAATACAAAGACGTCGCGCTAGTGTTGCGTGTTGTCCAGGAAGTAGCGCCAATGCGAGCTAGTGGCAGGTGAATGAACTTGGAAAAAGTACATTAGTTTAGTATTTATGTACTGCTTTATTTTTTGTCATTTTTACGTTCAATTAAAAAAAAAAAAAAAAAAATTAGTAGAAAAGCGATGTTTATTGTAATCCATCTTTATCATTAATAAAAAATTTTTAATACCAAATTTTATTCCCCCACATTGCCTTAAATAAAAAATTCTTGAGCATAAAAATATTGAAAACAGTATGAATTCGACTTTGAAAAATATTCGATTAAATAGAAATTCTAATACGGTCACTTAAGAATTTTTTGGAAAGAAAATTCGGTTCAATATATTATAAATTCTGCGACGCATAAATAATCGCATAAAAGCTATAATTTTTTAAAATTATGATTTAACAGAATTTTATTCTGAAGAATATTATTTTTGTAGAATAGTAATTTAAAAGAATTTTAATTTTCCAGAAAAAAGAAAATGATACATATATTTTAATTTTACAGAATATTGAGACGCATAAATATGTTTGAATTTTTATTTGCTCGAATTTTCATTTAACATAATAGGCATTTTAAAGAATTTTTATTGAATATAATTTCATTGCATATAGAATTTTCTTTCAGATGAATTTTCATTTGTTGAAATTATTATTTTGATATAATTTCCATATAACCGATTTTTCATACTATAGAATTTTTACTTAACCGAAAAATCATTTAACAGAATTTCTAATAGAAAGAATTTTCATTTGTCCGAAATTACAAATGGCCGAACAAACAATTGACAGAAAGATTTCGGCGCGATTTTTAAAATCAAGCAATTACAATTTTGTGGATAATTTTTGATTGTTGGTTGATTTTAAAAATCGCGACGAAATCATTCTGTCTATTGTTTGTTCGGCCATTTGCAAATTCGGACAAACGAAAATTCTATCAATTAAAGAAATTCTGTTAAATATAATTTTTAGGTTACTTAAAAATTAATTTCGCAGAATGGTAATTTAAAAGAATTTTATATTTATGCCGAAAGTCGATTAGAATGAATATTATAATTTAACAGAATATTCTTTTTGTTCGGAAATTAATTTTACAGAAAATGCAAATATTCGAAAGTCAATTTGACATTATTATTTTAGCTCGATTTTTAAATTTGATTGACCAATCAGAAAATATCAGGAAAAAAATTATGATTGAACAATTTTAAACTTAGTCCTAGAGTCATTCCATTATATTTCGAACAATGTCGTTGCCGACTAATTTTTAAAAATTATGATACTTTGCAGGGATGATCTTGAAGTTATAAAGATCACGAAATGAAAAGATTTTTACTAAAATTTTTATTATTTACTTTAAAATATGAATTTAAAGTGTACGAGGTGCTGAAAATTGACAGTTTTTCAGCCAGCAGAAAATATTCGAAAAAACCTATAATTTACCATAAAAGTGTGAAAATTATTATTGCAATTTATTAAGAATGACTAAATTTACTTTTATAAATTGATTTAAGCATTTAAAGATATATGAAATAATAGGAAAAACATGATTTTCAATTTCATCTTAAAAATAACCTAATTTTGCTATTTTTATCGATTAATTATGAGAAAGGGTAAATATTAAATTAAAAATAAACTTACCAAATATCAAGTCATTGCTATTAACTTTTAGATTTTCTTTGTACTTTTTAATTTTTCTCTTTATTTATATAAAAATTTTGAAAATGAAAATTGCCACTTTGCTAATTTTTGCGATTTTTGAACACTTTAAATTCATATTTTAAAGTAAATAATAAAAATTTTAGTAAAAATCTTTTCATTTCGTGATCTTTATAACTTCAAGATCATCCCTGCAAAGTATCATAATTTTTAAAAATTAGTCGGCAACGACATTGTTCGAAATATAATGGAATGACTCCGTAAAATAGTTTTGTCATAAAAAATATTGGTTCGAATAAATTTAAAAATTTAGTTAAATGAATGTTTGAATTTAAAAAAAACTGAATTTCTTGTATTCCCAGAACGAACTGCAATGCACTTGCTTTAATAATATTCTGTAATTCGAGAAATTTTCCAATTGTATACTGCAATCTCCCCTTTTTATTTTTCAAAGGAAAAAAAAAAAAATTGAGGAATTAGCCGCATTATTTATTACGATTTGAATCGTAACAAGTGCATTTTTGAAAAGCTGTTTCTTCATCAAAGAATCTTGTTAATCGAAACAGATCCCCATTCTGATAAATCTCGGACCCTCTGAAGTTGATGTGTATAGGGCGTTTTATTCGATACGCACATTTCTGTATAAATAGGTTACACAGTCCATTGGGAAATATTAAATAGAACGTTATTACACTCGAGACGATGGTGATAATCGTTGTTGTTGGAATAAAATGAAGCCGAGAGAGAGCCCATTAAGATTTGTCCGAGATTTTCGAAAACGCAAGCAGGCTAAATAATAAAATGAAGAGGACGCCCGTAGGGAGCAGTCGAGGATGGAAAGGAAGTGGCGAAGGGGAAGAAGCGAATATCCTTCCTGTTTCCCCCTTCCCCCGCGCTCTCCTTCTCTTTCTCTCTCGGTAGCAGCTGCTCGGATTTGAGCACGTGCTACAACCACTGCGCGTTACGATGCTTGCGTATAGTCTCCATATTATAAATATAAATGGTAGGTGAGACACCGAATAGGTTGGTAGGTAGGTAGGTAGGTAGGTGCCTTATATACATAGTCACGTATATACTATGTAAGCACGCGTTTACAAATGCTTAAGTGGTGTGCACCCTCCTTATAGAATATTCATATACATATGCGGAATCTTGATATTCTAGATCTCTGCATTTTTTCCATAAAAATATATGTAGAGATTGCGCAGTGTTGAGACTTTTTCTTCTCTCTCTCTCTCTCTTTTTTCGACTTCTTTTGGAGGGCTATTCAATTCAGGAAAGAATGGTACAGACAACGTAACCCAAAGAGAAACCTGTACCATGTGCTTTTACATTATGCCAATAACTCTCCTCTTTATATGATGAATTGTGTTTTTCCCTATTGGTCACGGTAGGAAGATTTTCAAAATCATTGGGGACTACGACAACCATTATATATATTGGTTTCTCGCTTGAAAATAAAAATTATAGGTTTCTGGAATTCCTCGACACACCGGGTCAATATATGTATATGTATATGGGGCGACCACTTGAAACTCTGTGGCATTTTTATTTATGAGTTTGTCGCACACCTTTTGGATTTTTTCCAGAAAGTTTCTGATATATAATTTTGAGATTTTTGTTTTTCTTTTTTTTAGGGATCAATTTTGAAATTTTGTATTTTGTTTTTGAAACGCAGTCTCTAAATGCAGTTCACTATAATTTAAATTAGTGAAAATTTCTACTAATTTTTAGCCACTTTTCATGAAAACTTTAGGGAAAAAATACATATATAATTAGAGTAAAACAAACAGAGTAGTCGATCATTTTGATAGGGATGCATCAATTACTGCTGATGCCCTTATAAGTACTGCGATTTTTATAAAATTATTAAAACTTATTGAGACCATAAAATTGTTTCAAAATGACTTTAAAAATTATTATAAATGATATTTGATTTTATATCCACTAAATTTTTTAACGGATCCAAAACCATAAAAATCACTCTGTATATATGAGACTTTTCACGTTAACACGGACAGAGCTCTAGCGCTTAAAAGATTTCTACATTCGTGTACTTTAAGATGCCGTTGGACTTT